GCTAGTGCGGGGCGCGGAGCGCGACCAGCCGGCGACCACACAGTAGGGTCCGTATGGGATGGTTAACACCTGACCTCAGTTAACCTTCACAACAACTCCGAGGACCAAGGATTTTCAAACTCATTTTATAAAGGAGAGCTAAGGGGCAGAGAGAAGTCATCTTTCCTGGCCCTCAAGCCCGCGGGATTGTAACCTGGGTCCGGCTCCTTCCCCAGGCCTTGCTCTCACAGCGCCTCTCTACCAGTGGACTTATTTTTATTATAAATTTACATTTTTTAAAATATATTTTATTGATTTTTTTACAGAGAGGAAGGGAGAGAGATAGTCAGAAACATTGATCAGCCGCCTCCTGCACATCCCCCACCAGGGATGTGCTCCCAACCCAGGTACGTGCCCCTGACGAGAATCGAACCTGGGACCCTTCAGTCCACAGGCCGACGCTCTATCCACTGAGCCAAACCGGTTTCCGCTACCAGTGGACTTTTAAATGCTCTCATCCTCTGGCTCCCTTGCCGGTTCATTCCTTCCCTGAGCAGCTAGCTCATGCACACATGTTCCTACTCCCCTGTTCACACCCTGTCCACACTGGCCTAGGACAAGGGGGCTAATTAATGTCCCAGATGGTGACCCCACCCACCAGGAAGCAAAGCCAGTACACCTCTTCATTCTCAAAAATTATTTCCAGTTCATAAGGGCACTGTTCTCACTAGGGTCAGAGGACCACAATCTGAAGGGGATGTATGAAGTCCTTAGAGCAGTGGTTCTCAACCTTCCTAATGCCGCGACCCTTTAATACAGTTCCTCATGTTGTGGTGACCCCCAGCCATAAAATTATTTTCATCGCTACTTCATAACTGTAATTTTGCTACTGTTATGAATCGTCATGTAAATATCTGATATGCAGGATGTATTTTCATTGTTACAAATTGAACATAATTAAAGCATAGTGATCAATCACAAAACAATATGTAATTATATATGTGTTTTCCGATGGTCTTAGGCAACCCCTGTGAATTGGTCGTTCGACCCCCAAAGGAGTCGCGACCCTCGGGTTGAGAACCGCTGCCTTAGAGATTTCCTGTCTGTCCTCTCAGGGTACATTGGGGAAACTGAGGCTCTGAGAGATGTGCAGTTTGGCTGGATCGCACTGAGCCAGGACCAGGGACTTCTGAGCGTTAATTGTCCCATTCATTATGTGAATAATTTCCTTTCAGCCAATCACAGGGTACTGGGGCTTGAAAAGGACTGGTGGGCCATATAATCAGTTATTGAGTCACAGCTAGCGTTAAAAATAATAATTAAATGGAATGGGGAAAGTGCATGACAGATAGTAATGCTTTGTAAAATGTATTTCTTACTCTGAGCCAGGTCAAAAGATTTAAAAGCCACTGAATCTGACACCTCCCATTGTACGCACTTCATTGGTAGCTCTCCTCATTTTTCACAGCAGTGGGTAGAGTCGGAAATGATGGTATGCGTTGGGACTCCCCAATTCTTCCATTCCTTGCTTTGGGTGTGTGTGGGATAAATCATGGGCATCCGGGGATCTGGGCTCAAGCCCTAGCTCAAACCCTTCCTCAGTTTTTCTCTCTGTGCTTCCGGTTCCTTTTCTTCATCTAAGCCAGCTCCTAAGATACAAATGTGTGCCATGCCTTTGACCTGGGGCCCCTGAGAGGGGTTGGGTCTCCGTCTGCTCTTGCGAAACACATAGTATAGTGGGGGAGTCAGACAGACATCACAGGACAGGGCAGTGAAAGGGGAAATGCAGGGACCATGGCCATCTGAAGAGGGGTCACCATCTGAAGGACCAGGGGAGAGTTTTGAGGGGGTAGTGTCCTCAAGAATCACTCTTAGGTCAAATACGAAAACTGGAGGGAATTGTTATTATCCCTCAGAAAACTTTTTCCAGCTGGAGATTTCTGCGAACTGTGAGCTGGATAGTGTACTCTAATGGAGGTGCATTTTGGCCTCTTTATTTATTAGATGGAGAGCAAAGGGGAGGCGTGGAATCCTGTAGAAGGGAGAGAGCACTCCTGGAGACATGGGGCTCAGCTGGGCAGTAGAAAGCGCTCTGCTCTGGCTTTTGGTAAAATTGGGAAGCTGCCAACAGTTTTCAAAGTCTTTTTCCAGCCAAGAATTAGTTTGTTCCTTCCAACAACCCTGTGTGTGAGCCAAGCTAGGATGATTGTGCCTCTGAGAGACATAACAAGCCCAGTGTCACCCAGGCAGGACTAGTACCCACATCTGGCTAGCTAGGGGACCCTTTGGCAGTTTGATAAAGACTATGGACCTCTATTCAGAAGGATATTTTTAACTATGAAAAATAAATTACTTTGGAATACTGAGGAAACCAATTATATAAAATCATTATCAAAATATTTATTTTGTGATTTAGTCCTTTTTAAAAACATTAAATAACAAGCTCTAGAAATTGGTCTATTACCTATTGTAATTTCGAGGTAGTCAATGAGTGTAAACATTATTTCAAGACATTGTTACTGTAATGCAATACAGAAATATCTATGATTTCTATTGGTGACGGAGTCTCAGGTACAGCTAATACTGTTGTGATTTGTTGCTTACATGCATGATAGAAGGAAATGCTACATTTTAGTTGGAGGTTAGTGAAAACAAGGATGTAATTTTTTCAACTCTATCCATGGATCCTCTGGGTTCTGTAGAATCTATGCTAAAATCTTCTGTCGCTTCCGATCTAGCTCCTACTCCAATGCTTGTTACTTTATCACATGCATCATGTCTCTTCCTGCAGACACTTATTGCAGACCTACTATGTGCCTGACAGTTTTACATCTTGTATGTTATATAGTCTTGAAAACTTCCTTTGAAGTAGGTGTTATTCTTTCCATTTTGCAGACAAGATAACTGAGACTCGAGGAGGTTAAGTGATTTACCCAAAGCCACACAGCCAGTAGCTGAAATCAGAGTCTTGTACCACCTCTTCATTCCTCTCCAGCTGAGGTTTGGGGGTCAGTGTCTCTAACACCAGAAGGAAAGGAAAGTATGAGAGAAGGGTAAGGAGGGAGAATTCACAGTTATGGAGAACACACGCAAAGTAGAAATTGTGCTGTGCTTTTCATTATCTTCTTTAATCTGCACAACAACCCTATGCAGTATAACTCTATTAAAAAGTAAGTAAATACTACATATCTATAATAATAAAAGCATAATATGCTAATTAGACCAGACATCCTTCCGGACCTCCTTCCAGACAAAAAGCCAAGGCTGCAAGGGAAACCCGGGTCTTGGGTGCCAGAGGGAAGCCAGTGCTGGCAGCTGGGGGAAGGAAGACCTACTCTTGCCCAAATTTCATGCATCAGGCCTCTAGTTTATTATAAAACACAAATTAGAAAATATAAATAAACCAAAATAAAAATCACCTATAATCTCTCCTCACAGAAATATCATTTAATACTTTGGTATGGAGAGTTCCAGATGCACACATACACACACAATTTTACACCCACTTTACGGATACGAAAACTGGACCCAGAGAGGTTAAGTAACTTGCTCAAGGATGTACCAGTGATAAGTTTCAGTCACCTGTGGTCTGACCTTAGGCAGGTCACCTTTCCTCTCTTAGCCTGGCACTTGGAAAGCCATAACTGGAAGGAAGCCCCTCTGAGTGGTTTTCAAAATAGTGCCCTCTAAACCAAGGCAGCCTTGCTCCAGGAGCCTGTTTTCTTGGAGAGGGCTAGGGGGAGGTGGGAGGTGGGGCGAACCACCTGCTCCCTTTGGTGGGCCACACAGCTTGCAGCTGCAGCTGGGTGACTAGTGACTGCAGTTAACCAATCAATTGGGGATGAGAATCCGGTGCAACCCTCCTGTGATTGAGAACACAGTTCTTCTCACTGGGCTTGGCACATGTGTGGTCCGTTAGGAGTCCCTGGACTCTCCTCTTGCCCTACAGCCCCAGCTTGTGCCCACCTGGACCCCTTCCCTAGTGACTCCCTTGGATTCTTTCCCCAATCTTCCAGAATGAGGCTCTTGTATCTCATCCTAAGAGAAGTAGCTTTGCCATGGTGGAACAAAAAAATGCAGGGACAGCCCTGGCCGGTTGCTCAATGGTTAGAGCACCAGCCCAGAGACCAAAGGGTAGATGGTTCAATTCCCAGTTAAGGGCACAAACCTCGTACCTCCGTTTCAGGCTCCATCCCCACCCAGTCAAGCTCTTGCGGGAGAGACACAATGATGTGACTCTCTCACATCAATGTTTTTCTCTTTCTCCCCCGATCCCTCTCTCCCTTCCACTCTCTCTGGAAACATCTACTGTCTTGACTGTACATGTACCAGTCATTGAGCACCTTCCATGTTCCATCATCTCACAGGAATCACAGTTTCAAACTCCAGGTCAGAAGTTGTACCTGCTTCAGCCCTGGTTTCACAGCCTAGGGCCCGGTTCTCAAAGGCAGGGCTGCTGCTTTGTACTGCCTCTGTTCCTTTGTGTGCCTTTGTTCAAATCAGAAAGATATATACCTCCTCCTCTGGCCTGATGTAGCTCCATGCTGAAGATAAGGCTTGGTAATTAGAGTTCAAACTAGATTTCAACTCTCACTTATCCCTTCTTCTGGACACCTTCAAAACCTACATGACCATACAGGTCAACCCTGCCTCAAGGGAGAAACTTATAAACAAACAATTTTGAAATATGGGCATTTTAATATATAATGCTATTGAAACTCAGGCTAATTTATTCACCCCAGGACCCATTCAGGAATGGCAGATACTAGGATTTGTTCTGGTCTGCCAGTCCCCAAAGCTCAAGGAAGCACTACCTTTGCCCTCCTCCTCCTCCTCCTCCTCCTACTCCTCCTCTTCCTCCTTCTCCTCCTCCTCCTCTTTCTTCACTTTATTTTATTTTATCTTTATTGTTGAGTATTACAAATGTCCCCCTGCTTTTGCCTATCTTCTGCTCTGGTCTCAGCAAGCGTCCAGCACTTTCCATGTTATTAAGCATTTTTCATGTTCACAGTTCTTTTCCAGCCTAAGATCATCCATTTCTGGAATTTACTCCTAGACCTCCTCCTCCTACTGGAGTGAATGTCTGGTTCTCTCCAAGAACCAGTGTCTCCAACGCTGAACCCTCCCTGTCCCTGCTGGAGTGTTACTGAAGTGCAGAAAGCAGAGAATAGAGGGAAAGGCAGGGATTTTGGTACCAGATTAGCCTGGATTCTAATCGCTATTTGGCAACCAGTTGGCTAGGGTACACTTTGGACTTTACATTTAGCCTCATCTGTAATATAGAAGTCATAGTACCTGTCTCATTGGGATAAGATATAGCTATGTGAGCACTCAGTAAAGGTTGCTTCTCTTCTTCCTCCCACTTTGCTAAGAGAAAGGCTTGTGTCTCATGCTAGGTCTACATACAAGAAAAACTTCAGCCTTTGTCTACAGAAGACTCATTGAATTTTTGGCGGTGGTATTGGTTGATAGAGTTATATAGGTTTCAGGTGTACAATTCTATAACATGTCATCTGTACATTGTACTGTGTTTTCACCACCCTGAGTCAAGTCTCCTTCCATCACCATTTATCCCCCCTTTACCCTCTTCTACCTCATCCACATTGTGGGTCTGTGTCTATGAGTTTTTTGTTGTTGTTTTTTTGCTTAATCCCTTCACCTTTTTCACCCAGCCTCATAGCCCCACTCCCCTCTGACAGCTGTCAGTCTGATCTTGAATCTATGAGTATGTTTCTATTTTGTTTGTTAGTTTATTTTCTTCATTTGAGCCCACATATGAGCGAAATCATATGGTGCCTGTATTTCTCTGACTGGCTTATTTCACTTAGCATAATACTCTCCAGGTCTGTCCATGTTGTCTGCCGCAAAAGGTAAGAGTTCCTTCTCTTTTATGGTTGAGTAGTGTTCCATTGTGTAAATATGCACCACAATAGGACTATGAGGTGTTACTAATATTCTTGATGTCCCTCCTCTTGGAGGCATCATGACCCCATTGAGGCCCCGAGAAGTAAAATACTTTGCCCATGAGTCACTCAACTGCTAAGAGGCAGAGGCAGCTCATCTACTGATGGGCACTTGGGCTGCTTCCAAATCTTGGCAACTGTAAATAATGCTGTAATGAACAAAGGGGTGCATATATTCTTTCCAATCAATGTTTTGGGATTCTTTAGGATATATACCCAGAAGGGAAATTGCTGCCTTATAAGGCAGTTC